ATGCTGAGAGGCCCGAGATTTGACCCATCAATTAAACAAATCCCAAGTCATAAATGCAACGAACTTACTAAAAACTAAAACTTGACAAACTTGGCAGCTTGCAACAGCTCTTAACGACCTAAAATGAAAGTTTAAGTTTTGCAACTAAAGTTTGCACCTTTGAGTACCTTTTTTTATACGCGCAAAAAGCTGTTTATTATTCTATCTGTTTTGCAGTTTTGCCTCGGTAAGTTATTGCGGCGAATCATAGAAGCATTATCATGATTATCATGGTTATATTTAAGCAGAAAACTACTGCTGTACGTACAACTTTCCCACTCTCTCCCTCTTCCTTTCCCAGCCGCTTACAGCCAAAAAAAATTATTTTATTATTTTCTTTGGTTGTACAAACATTGGGATCTTCTGTAGCGATACTCATAAATTCTGTTTTAATTACCGCTATTACTTGCTGAACTACACTGCGATTTCTATCTCAAAATTAGAAAGCAGTTTTTTTTCTGTTTATTTACAGATATCGGTAACGTTTCAACAATACCTATGAATGAAAAAGTGCTATCGACTACAGTTGCTGCACTTCCGCGAAACGTTTCCTCGAGACGAAAAATACATTAATGCCAATAAGTGCTGCAAAAATTCTATCAAGGTTTTAAGATTTTGTTTGCTTGAGAGACCGATCCTAGTGAGGTTTCACTCATCCTTACTGTTACAGACCAAAGGTACCAAAATTTGTGGCGGAGGATAACAGCTGCTGTTAGCGTTACGCAAAAACGACAAAATTTAGAGTTATTTAACCTATAATAGTCGTTTTCTTGTCATTATAAACTAATTAGACAAACCATATTAACAACCTTACACTCTTCTTAAAGACGAGTAATGATCTAATTTTTTTTGTCGTTTTCTGATCTTGCAGATAGCCAATTTAAATTTTATTTCGGTAAAGTAAGCGAAACTTGATAAAATTTATAAGACGTCTGGCAACTACCATGAACATTTAAATCGTCAACCAACAAATTTAAAACAAATTGTACTGTAGAATTGATTATCTTTTTTGCTTTAAAGAAGCTTGAAGTCTAAAGATATATGTATGTTAAAGATGAAATAGAATACTTTGTATTTGCTGTATTATTTATAAGATCACTTCCAGCTTTTCACTTGCTGGTTAACTGATATTTGGCAAAGTTTTTTAAAAATTAATTCTTTTACTTAAAAGTGTCTACAACTATTAGCACCCAAAAAATTTTAAAACTTTTTCACTTATTTAACTACCATTGCTTGAAAAGTTATTGCTTTAACTCTTTAACATTTCTACTACTTTTGAATTGTAAGCAATCGACTATGACTATTGTTGTCGATAGTTCCACCAATGATATCTTGATTATTAAAGCTTAATTATGTAGTGTGGTTCGTGACAGCGTTATATTTGTCAGAAGCTTTCTGTCCTTGAAAGTTTTACTGTAATACAAAGTGCTTGTGTTACATTATACACTGACAGGTTTAAAAACCGTTTTAAATGCGAGTCCTTAAAATTTAAAAAACAATTTTTTTTCTCTAGGAGGTTTATTGCTTTGTACGGTATTATTGCAAGCTTTGAATACGTCAGAAAATTTTTTGCTGCTTATAATGGTTAAAGTGTTCACTACGCAGGGAATGGGCTAGCTTGGTTTCTTTGAAGCAGTATAATAAACTCCTGAGTTGATGCACAAGGAACAAAATTTGATGCTTGGCAAACAGTAATCGTTAATGTGTCATCGAAATTTGCGTTACGTTGAGAAACCACAGCTATCATTTCTAATCGTTGTCTCTTTTTGTCGTCATTCAATCAAAAAATGACTGTGTTTTATAACAGTTGAAAAATTAAAAACAGAATTGGTCTTACAAACAACACTTTTTTAGACCAAATGCTTCTTTTCATTTTTTAATCATTCCCAAATTAAAAAAAAAACGAGGATACCAAACATATAAATTATTTTTGACTTTAACTGCTATTCCCACGGTTAATATAAATTTAGCCAAATCAAATACGCTATCTTAAAGTTCCGTTAACCTGGCAGTTCAAAAATACATTTTATAGTTCAAAAATTTTTCAGATTTTTGTTTTGACGTAAAACACAAATATAAAGTTTTTTTTTTTGTTTTCTTTCTCTTCTTTAATTAAGGTTTTGTTTACTAGCAACCTTACATGTTATTTACGTAAAATTTGCGTTAAGTGTCTTCTACAGTAAGAAATCTCCCAGAAATATTTTGCTAGAAACTTTGCACTTTGCAGCATTAAGCTTGAAATCTTCAGTATTTTTTGACAAAACTTATCGTATCTTGTTATTCTGTCAAAATCCTTAGAAATTTTTTTTAGAACAATGATTACTGTCTTTTTGACTCCTTTTGTCAGACTGAAAAACCACCTGAAATACTTCCGTCGAATTCACCTAAAAATTTTTTGGTTTCTTGGCAAAAAAGAGTTTTTCTTTTGCTTTATTGAAAATTCTCATCGGAACTTGATTTATAAACATTAGGTTGTGTTTGATTAACCACAGTTTTTTACGTCAGCTTTCATGCTTCAACTGAGATGTAATAATTTGTTAGGAATAAGAAATAATTTACATATATTTCACTGTTCAAAGTCATTCTGAAATCATCATTACTCTTTGCTCAAACTAGTTTTCTTCTGAGCTTTTTTTATAAGACATTACTCAGGTAAAAATTGTATTGTTGGCTTTTTCTCTGTCACAGTTATCTTGTTGAGCAAGAAAAAAACGAAAACTGCAACTAATTGAGCAACAGCTTTGTACTGCAGTCAGGAAGGTTTGGCAAAATCTATCGTAATCCATCCACAAACTATCGACTTTGAACTAATTGTCTACCGACCTTAAATTTTCATTTTTTCTACTGGAAACCTTGACTCAAACGCTTGGTAGGGGGTGAAACCATATTAAAGGCCATTATTTGAAGCAGAATTTGAAATATGTTTCTGTCACATTTCGCCATACCCCAAAAGTCGTCAAGCAATCAAAATGCTATCGAAAATCTTTTAGACTAGCTGAAAAACTAAAGTTGAATAGGTTCAAAAAGTTTGGTTTTACATGTGAAATGCGGGGATGATGCGGGAAATAATTACAATGCTGATAATTACAATGCTCCCAGTTTTGTTGCATGCCAAATTTATCAAACTCTACCAAAAGCCTAAATTTTTTTAGCTGCGAAAACATAAAACCAATGAATAAACACTTTGCGAAAAAAAGATGTTATAAGTTGTTAGGTATAAGAAATGATTGACGAAACCATTCTTCTTTTGTTCTATTATGAAGAATAGAGTTTGTGCATTTAAAAGTT